CATTTAAGTTACCTGGTGATAGTTAATCCCACTCCTGAATGAGTCTGTAAATACACTGATCACTTTAATCTTTGGTTATACTTCCTTTTGGGTGTTTAAGATCATACAGTTGGCCCAGATAAACCAATGTATTTTTACTCTTAAGGTCATTTGAGGATCTGTTCCTTAGGGGTCACATGGGCTTGGGAGGAGCCCCTGGAGCCTTTCTTTACCAGTTCCATCTATGTGAAGATCAGTCAAAGGCCCTACTTGACCATGGCTGGTTTTACTTGGAAGCATGGAAGAAATGTTTCCTCTGTGTTGACCCTCCTCTTTGTAGACTGGACACTGGTTCAAGTCCATCTTGTGGGGTCTCCATGGCCTCCCTGAACAAGAGAACAGGTGATTCACCACAGTTACAGGACATTTTGAGAGATGCTCCATAGTCCCCTGGAACTTAGTCTACCTTGGAGGGCAAGGACCAAAAACTATCCTTTAAGTCCCTCTGACCACATTAGTCTAGGCCTCAAAGTACGGCTATTAAACATCCAAGAAGGTTAGTTCCACCAGTCTGGTACTTTTAATTACCATGTGCTATGTAGATAAAACTTGGGCAAAAACCATATGTTCTCAGATAAACCTTGACTAGACATATATTTTGTTTCTTAAACTAGTGGACTAAACTATTACCTTCGAAATTTTAAGATTATGTGTATATTATCTTTGTCTCATCCTTTATCTATCATAGCAAACCTATGCAGACCTTCATCACTTGCTTAGGCTTTCTCACTTTTTCTGTCTATTGTAGGAATTGGCTAGGCAGTTAGGGTAAAAAGACCCCAAAGAAAAGTAGCCAGTTTCTTGGCTAAAAATCAAAATGTCCTTGGGCCTCTTAGCAACATACTCTGTTTCAAAGGCCAAAAATATCAAAAATATTTGGGAGCTCTTATCTAATCCATAAAAGATTTTGGGGTTACCTCTCCAGAGGGGCGAATATTAAGAGTAACAAAAAGCCGCATGAAAAAAAAGAAAGAGTACATGAAGTTGTTCAGGAGAAAGTGATGGGGAGGTATAAGAGGAGCTGAGGAGTTGGAGGGGAGGGAGTGGGTGTGGATTTGATCAAACACCTTAAATTTGAAATTCTCAATAAATATGAAATTCTCAATAAATTTTTTATAAAAATTAAAAGAAAGATGGTCTGAAAGCAAATGATTGCTAGAGAGAAAGAAGGGTGGGGGAGGGGAGCAGGGAGGTTAGGAAAGGACAGATGCTCTCAAAGTACAGTATATGCATGTATGGAACTGTCACAGTGAAACCACTCATTTGAATAATTATTTTTAAAATATGGGCACACTGGGTAGAGACCAGGAGAACAGGCCTGTAATTCAGGGTTGTTTCCTGGTAAGGTGATCATACTGCTTTCTTTCTAGGTAGGTTTAATTTTGAGGATAAGGGCAATAAATTGGGGCGTGGGGTGGGAGAGAGAGAGAGAGAGAGAGAGAGAGAGAGAGAGAGAGAGAGAGAAACATACCCATCATCTGCAGTGGTGGTCTGGGCAGCAGCAGCAGAAGAGGCCTTGTACTCAGGAGTTGACAGGTGAGAACATGTCTGTGAGGAGGCAGCAGCTGGTCCACTACAGTGGCTGCAAGCCCTCTACCCCTCTCACATACATGAGTACCACACTGTGAATAATGGCAGATACTATAAAAAGATCCATCATCAAAAAGACATGTGACTGGCCTATGCATACTGACAACCTTGTTCTCTGGATCCTCCCAGTCTTGGGGCTTAGGGAAACTGGAGGGAGGGGTACTCACTGGCAGAGTTGTTCTGGAAGCCAGCATCTGTCTGACAGAACTGACAGTGTGAAAACCCTTTGGCCCAGCATTTCCTCTTCAAATTACCCCTTAAAGATAAGCTGCCAGGATTCCTCAAGGAATTTGGCAAAGAATGCTTGCCTGGGCACTGTTTGTGAAGGAGGAGTGTGCCCCCCGCCATGTTCTTCAGTTGGCAGTGCATACCTGACCAGCTGTGCTGAAACGCTACTCGTTCATTTCAAAGAATAATGTCAGGTAGAGCTTTTGCCTAGTGTGCACAAAGTGCTGACTTCAATCCCCAGCCCTGCCAAAAAGACAGAAGGAAAGAAACGAAGGAAGGAAGGGAGGGAGGGAGGAGGGAGGGAGGAAAAAAGAGGGAAAGTCAAGATGGAAGAACAAAGAAGAGATAAACTCAATCTATACATACTCTCTAACTTAAAATTTATTTTTATTTCATGTGTGTAAGTGTTTTGCCTGCCTGTATATAAGTGTACCATGTGCACACAATGCCCACAGAGGCCAGAAGAGGATGGAGGAACCCCTGGAATTAGAGTTGCAAATTGTTATTAGCCACTATGTGGGTGCTGGGAACCAAACCCAGGTCCTCTACAAGATCAGCCAGTGCTCTTAACTGCTGAGCCATCTCTCTAGCCCCTCTAACTTTTATTTAGTGTTCCACCTTTTTCTTTTTTTAAAAAATATTTTATTTATTATTTTTATTTTATGTGTATGAGTGTTATGCCTGCATGTAGGTAAGTGCACCCATGTCCCACAATGCCTGTAGAGGACAGAAGAGGCTGTTGGATCCCCTGGAACTAGAGTTACCAGCAGTTGTTAGCTGCCTTGTGGGTGCTGGGATGCGAACCTGGGTCTTCTGCAAGAACAGTCAGTGTTCTTAACCGCTGAGCCATCTCTCCAGCCCCTCCACTTTTTTCTTTAAAAAGTTTCCAACTAATAAAAATTACGTATTCATAGACAATTCTATTCTGTGAATTTAAGGGCTTGCTAAAAACATTTGCATGTGTCCGAATTTTCAGTTGAGAAAACCAACTAAATTAATAAAAGTCTAAAATATAGATGTAAGCACAAGATAGCTTTATATTTTATAAAACCTTTCTTAGGATTAAAAAATTAAGTGTGTGTGTGTGTGCACGTGTGTGTGTGTGTGTGTGTGTGTGTGTGTGTGTGTGTGTGTGCCATGTGTGTACAGGTGCCTATGAGGCCAGAAGAGGGCACCAGATCTCCTGGAGCTAGAGTTTCAGGTCGTTGTAAGTCACCCAATGTGGATGCTGGGAACTGAGCTGGGTTCCTCTACAAGAGCAATACATGCTTTTAACAGCTGAGCCATCTCTCCATCCCCAGCTTCAGTAGATATTTTAATTTTGGGGGGATCCTTTTTGAGACAGGGTTTCCCTGTAGCTCCAGCTGGCCTGAAACTCACTTATGTAGACCAGGCTGGCCTTGAACTCACAGAGATCTGTCTGCCTCTGCCTCCCAAGAGCAAGGATCAAAGGTGTGCATCACCACACCTGGATCCCAGCTTTATAGTTTTAAATAAATAGTTTTGCTAAATTTCTAGGCAATAGTAAAATGATTTGAACAGCTGAATAACTGCTCTAGACAGATAAATACTTTGTTTGAAAATGTCCTTTTAAATAACAGGAAACATTTAAAATTTTATTAGTAATATTTTTTCCTTATTTGTTAGCAGATTCTTTATCTGGAGTATAAATGTACTACCCAGATGACCCAAAGTGCTTAAACTGCAGGTTCCATGCTAAGGAGAGTTGCACTGTAGTTGGTCACTGGAATTTTACTGAATTATCTGCTGAGGAGGAAATTGTTTTCACAATAAACCCCAGGAGGCTTGGCCATTGCGCAGGCATCCTCTTCCTCCTTTGTACTTGGGCATTTCTCATGCTCACACAGAGTATAATTAGGAATATGCTGGACACAGCAAACCACTGGAAGTCTATCCCTTGACCTCCCTCAGCCTGTTAGTTTCATGTCTTGTTGAGTCAGGATTCACAGTGGGCCTCCCAAGCAGTGGATGTGGACCACTTCCTGGAAGTGACGCTGGTGCTCCTGCTGTGTGAGTGATGTCTGAAAGATTCGGTGATGCTGTCTGTCATAACCCATGATGCTTCAGAACAGTGATGAGTAGCAGGGAATCGCCAAAGACCACCTGGTTTGTCCACAATACACTGGGCTGAACTGAATTCATGAACTGCTCATAGATCCAACAGATAGCAAGGACTGAGTGTGTGCTGGCACTGGGCTGATGCTTAAGATTTTCATTTTGTCTTTTCCCAGCAAGGTCATCTTCATTTTATAGACAAGAAAGGGTTTTCTTGTTTTATTTCTTTTGGGGGGTTTTGGGTTTTTTTTTTCGGTCTTTTTGAGACAGGGTCTCCCTGTAGCCCCATCTGGCCTGAAACTCACTATGCAGACCTGGCTGGCTGGCCTCAAACTCACAGAGATCCACCTGCCTCTGCCTCCCAGGTGCTAGGATTAAAGTCATGTGCCATCATACCCTACTGGTACAGACAAGAAGATTTAAGACCAGGGGAGTTACATGGTCATAGACGCATGGTCAGGAAAGCAGGATTTGATTCAGGATTCTGAAGCCCTTACTCCTTATATACACTGACACTCTTTAATTTTGGAGAACAAAGATGCTCTTATATGTGATACTGATTATGGAAGAAAGTAAATGCTTCTTTAATTTTGGATTGAATTTTTGAATACTTTAAAAACATGTATGTAGGCATGTGGGGATAGCTCAGTAAAGTACTAATTGCCTAACTATGAGGACCTGAGTATGATCCCCAGACCTATGTGAAAAAGCTAGGTGTGATGGCGTGCTTGTAATCCTAGCACTAACAAGACAAAGACAGATGCATCCCTGGACCTGCTGGCCAGCCAGCCTAGCTTACTAGCCAAGTTTCAACCAGCCAGAGACCATGTCTCAAAGAAGATCAGTGGTGCCTGAGGAACAGCAACACAGGTTTTTTTCTGACTTACATATATGCGCACATGTACACATTCCCCTTCTGCATCTGCATGCACACAAATGTGCATGCACATATATACAATGTATGTAAATCAATGTTAGACACTGAGACGAAACTATCAAATGTGTACACATGTCCCTTAGAGCAGATGTATAACTGTGATATGCTTTTTTGTTTGTGTGTTTTATAGGTAGCGATCAAGTTCACTCCTGGACACTAGTAACAAGCCAAGTCATCAGTACGGCCTGGAGAATAGCAACCGCCTCTGTGATGGTGGCACTCTTGTTTCTGACAACTACCCTTGGCTACTTCAGAAGGTTGTACATATATTTAGGCCACTGGCTGAAATGGTGGGTCATCGTATCATCTTTACATTTTAAATCTGCTTAGGAGGAAATTGTTTTCACAATAAACCCCAGGAGGCTTGGCCATTGCGCAGGCATCCTCTTCCTCCTTTGTACTTGGGCATTTCTCATGCTCACACAGAGTATAATTAGGAATATGCTGGACACAGCAAACCACTGGAAGTCTATCCCTTGACCTCCCTCAGCCTGTTAGTTTCATGTCTTGTTGAGTCAGGATTCACAGTGGGCCTCCCAAGCAGTGGATGTGGACCACTTCCTGGAAGTGACGCTGGTGCTCCTGCTGTGTGAGTGATGTCTGAAAGATTCGGTGATGCTGTCTGTCATAACCCATGATGCTTCAGAACAGTGATGAGTAGCAGGGAATCGCCAAAGACCACCTGGTTTGTCCACAATACACTGGGCTGAACTGAATTCATGAACTGCTCATAGATCCAACAGATAGCAAGGACTGAGTGTGTGCTGGCACTGGGCTGATGCTTAAGATTTTCATTTTGTCTTTTCCCAGCAAGGTCATCTTCATTTTATAGACAAGAAAGGGTTTTCTTGTTTTATTTCTTTTGGGGGGTTTTGGGTTTTTTTTTTCGGTCTTTTTGAGACAGGGTCTCCCTGTAGCCCCATCTGGCCTGAAACTCACTATGCAGACCTGGCTGGCTGGCCTCAAACTCACAGAGATCCACCTGCCTCTGCCTCCCAGGTGCTAGGATTAAAGTCATGTGCCATCATACCCTACTGGTACAGACAAGAAGATTTAAGACCAGGGGAGTTACATGGTCATAGACGCATGGTCAGGAAAGCAGGATTTGATTCAGGATTCTGAAGCCCTTACTCCTTATATACACTGACACTCTTTAATTTTGGAGAACAAAGATGCTCTTATATGTGATACTGATTATGGAAGAAAGTAAATGCTTCTTTAATTTTGGATTGAATTTTTGAATACTTTAAAAACATGTATGTAGGCATGTGGGGATAGCTCAGTAAAGTACTAATTGCCTAACTATGAGGACCTGAGTATGATCCCCAGACCTATGTGAAAAAGCTAGGTGTGATGGCGTGCTTGTAATCCTAGCACTAACAAGACAAAGACAGATGCATCCCTGGACCTGCTGGCCAGCCAGCCTAGCTTACTAGCCAAGTTTCAACCAGCCAGAGACCATGTCTCAAAGAAGATCAGTGGTGCCTGAGGAACAGCAACACAGGTTTTTTTCTGACTTACATATATGCGCACATGTACACATTCCCCTTCTGCATCTGCATGCACACAAATGTGCATGCACATATATACAATGTATGTAAATCAATGTTAGACACTGAGACGAAACTATCAAATGTGTACACATGTCCCTTAGAGCAGATGTATAACTGTGATATGCTTTTTTGTTTGTGTGTTTTATAGGTAGCGATCAAGTTCACTCCTGGACACTAGTAACAAGCCAAGTCATCAGTACGGCCTGGAGAATAGCAACCGCCTCTGTGATGGTGGCACTCTTGTTTCTGACAACTACCCTTGGCTACTTCAGAAGGTTGTACATATATTTAGGCCACTGGCTGAAATGGTGGGTCATCGTATCATCTTTACATTTTAAAATACCCTCACCATACAAAAAAATTTTGATATTGTCCCCTTTATCTTGCAGGTGGATTGGATATTTGCAGAGAAAATTTAAAAGTAAATATTTTGTGCCTACATTTCTTTATGTCTAAGGTACAGACAAGGCTAAAGAAAGGCAAGGAATGGGAAAATTAACTGCCTTTTATTTTTTTTTGCTTTGCCCAGGGAACCTCAGTGTGGAGGCAGAAGTTGATTTGCTCAGTTATTGTGCAAGAGCGTGGAAAGGCGAAACACCTCGTGCCAAACTGATGAGGAAGGTATGTTTGCTTATAGAAGTTAAGAAAGGCAGGTGGTGGCTGTCAGAATCAGGGCATATTTGGTTCCACTTCACCAAGCCAAGAGGTCAGTCACCACCAAGTGGGATGCAGTTAACAGCTGCTAGATGGTGGGTTTAGGATTTGTTTTAGTTTACGGTTTGGTTACTGTAATACAACACTGACTAAAAGCAACTTGGAAGAGGAAAAGTGTTTGTTTGGTTGGTTTGCATTTCCAGGTTACTGTCCATCATAGAAGGAAATCAGGGCAGGAACTGAAGCAGAAGCCATGGAGGAAGGCTGTTCACTGGTTTGCTCTCTGGCTTGTTCATCTAGCTTTCTTTTATAGCCCAGGTCCACTGACCTAGGGATAGTGCCACCCACAGTGGGCCAAGCCCTTCCACATCAATCATCAGTCAAGACAATCTCTTGCAGACATGGCCACAGGGCAGGCATCTGAGCTAACTAGAGCAGGCCTTAACATAAAGTTTATGTCTTTGAGGACTCACATCAATTAGGTCTGTATTTCACGACATGTGGGTACTGCATTGTTATTGGATTTCTGTTCTGTTGAACATCTGTATGTGTAGTGGAGACTCTCCACTGTAGGGATCAGACACCCTGCCTACCGTAATATTTTGAGGAGTGTTAGAGTTTTCCTTTGGACTAATCTTGGTTAAATATTTCCGACACTGCTACCCAATCTTATCTCTTGTAAAAAAAGTGAGGGAGGACCACATCCAAAGTCCTCTTTGACATGGTCTGAGAAAGCATACAGGATTTTTCACTGTGGTCAAGTTGTATTTATTATCAACCCTGAATAACTGCCTTGGCCTTCCAAGGTTAATCATCTAAAACAGCATGAGCAGTCTTCATACACAAGAGTTGCTTTAAGATACATGAATAGGGTCATCGAGATGCCTCAGTGGGTAAGAGCACTTGCCACACAAGCCTGAAGACCTGAATTCGAGAGAACTGACTCCTGAAAATTGTCCTCTGACCTCTACACACATACCATGGCGTGTGTGCACCTGCATTCGCACATACATCATGCACACACATGTGCACCCACAATAATAATAATAATAATAAAACTTAAAAATAAATTAAGAGGCTGGAGAGATAGCTTAGCAGTTAAGAGCATGCGCTGCTTTAACGAGGACCCAAGTTGGGCTCCTAGCACCCACGTCAGGCAGCTCATAACCACCTATAACTCCAAGCCCAGGAGATTTGATGTCCTTTCTGATTTTTGTGGGCATCTGCACCTAGGCACATATCCCCCCCCATAATTAAAAAATAAAATTAAATCTTTTTAAAAATATTAAAAACATAATCTGGAGAGATGGCTCAGTAGCTTAAGAACACTGGTTGCTCTTGCAGAAGATCCAGGTTCGAATCCCAGCACCCACCTGATGGCTAGCAACTATCCATTATTCTACTTCCAAAGAATCCAACACCCTCTTCTGTCTTCTGTGGGTGTTGCTCAACACTGGTGCACTTATACTTTTTTTTTAAATAAATAAATAAATAAATAAATAAATAAACCGTGTCAGCTCAATTAAACAAGGGACCAAAGGGGAGGTGAGAAATAGGTGGTGGGCCAGCACTAGATTGAGAACTATTTGAGATTGATTGCTGCTGGGTGAGGGAGAGTATGACTTACATATGACCACTGGATGGGCTGACTAGACTCTAGTGGATGCATTTATACTGAAGGACATTTGGGTACAAACATCTGAATGAATAGGACACAGCATGTATGGCAGAGTGCATAGGGTTCTGTGGGAGGATGAGGGGAGGCCTGGATGGGGGAGGTCTGGGTTTGAGTGGAAAATATAGTAAGAAATTTAAAAAGCTCAATTCAAAAACAAAGAAAAAAATTAAAAATAGGGGCTGTAAAGAACACTGACTGTTCTTGAAGAAGGCCCGGGTTTGGATTCCAACACCCACATGGCAGCTAAAAACTGTTTATAACTCCAGTTCCAAGGGCTCTGACGCCCTCTTCTGTCCTCTGAGGACATTGTATGACATGGGCACACTTACATACATGCAGGCAGTACACACATACACATTAAAAAAAAGATAATAAAATATTTTTAAAAAATTAAAAAGTAAAACAAAAAAAATTGCATGCGTAGTCATAATTTGTCATTGCATCCTCTGCCCACTGTACAGGGGAGCAGTGCTCATTGTGCTCATTGTGTTTGCTGAACTCACTTTCGTTTGTCTCCTGTTCGTCTTTCTGTGAAACAGGCTTATGAGGAGCTGTTTTGGAGGCACCGTATTAAATGTGTTCGGCAAGTGAAGAGAGATAACTATGATGCACTCAGATCAGTGTTATTTCAGATATTCAGCCAGGGCCTCTCTTTTCCGTCCTGGATGAAAGAAAAAGACATTGTTAAGGTACGCCCTCCCACCTGGAACACAGGGACTGCCATGTGGGTGCTTCCAGCCCTGGTACTCTCTGTAGCTTTGTATCAGAAGATTCTCATATTAAAGAGCTTTGAGGGGTCACTTAGCCAGTTCCCTCTCCATCTCACTTTGTTCATTGGTTTCAATGCTCACAACCTCACAAGAGGCATCTGTGCTTTGTAAGTAACATGGTCTAGTAAAATTCACCTAAATGCATGCAATGTGTTATCAACCCCCCAGAGATTATGTTGGCTACCTTTGCAGTCAATTGTTTCCAGATCGCTGGTCCCTGCAGCTCCTAATCTGTTTTCCATCTCTACAGTTGTGCTGTTTCCAGCGTCCTGTGAGTGGAATCATCTACGCAGCCTTTTGAATCTGGCTTCTCTCCCGCAGCAAAGTGCATCGTGGTTCACCCATGTTGCTCCATGAATTTGTAATTCATCTCTTTCTGCTGTGGCAGATATGGTGATATTTCTTTACATGAAAGGAGCATAGTTTATTCACAGTTGAAGGGCATCTGGACTTGTTTCCAGGGTTTAGCAACTATGAATAAGGCTTTTATGAACAGTCTTATTCAAGCTTTTATGTGAACATTATCTGTTTTTTAAGTAACTACCCAGGAGTTAGATTCCTATTGGTATGGTAGCTGTATGCTTAACCAAAGAAACTGCCAAATTGATTTCCAAACTGATTTCGCAGTTTTGTCTAACCAGTACAGAGTGACAGTTGCAATTACTCCACATGCTCACCAACACTTAGTATCGTAGGTATTTTTCATTAGCCATTCTAATGGGTGTACACTGATGCTGTTGTGCTTATTTATTCATTTATTAGTGTGTGTACATGTATGATGGGGGAGTGCAAGTGCCATGCCGCGTGTGCGGAGGTCAGTGGGAAATTGTGTGGAATTGGTTCTCTCCTTCCACCTTTATATGGGTTCTGGGGATTGAACTCAAGAGTCAGGCTTACTCAGCAAGCACCAGTAACCTCTTGCATGCTCTCACTGTACTTTAAGTGACTGTGACTTTGACCATCTTTTCATGTACCTGCACGCCATCCATATTGTCTTATTGGAAAATTATCTATTTAATCTCTGTCCATTTTGTATCGTTTCCTTACTGTTTTGAGAATTCTTTATATGTTCTGAATATAAGTGCTTCATTCGATAAGTGATTTGTGGATATTTTCTCTGATTCTATGGCTTGTTTCATTGTTTTCTTAAAGTTTATGACAGTGCATTCTTTTCTTAATATTTTATTTTTAAAATTATTTTTTTATTTTATGTGTAAAAGTGTATTGCCTTCATGCATATTAAATATACTCATGTTGTGCAGTACCTGTGGAGGTCAGAAGATGCCATTGAATCTCCCTGGAACTGGAGTTACAGATGATTGTTAGTTATCACATAGGTGCTGGGAGTTGAACCTGGATCCTCTGCAAGAGCAGCCTGTGTTCTTAACCGCTGAGTCATTTCTCCAGCTCGGCAATGCATTCTTACTGAACAGCTTGAATTTTTGTTTTGAATACAGTATGCCTACTTTAGAATTTCAGAGCAAAGAAATATATATATACATATATTTATTTGCATGTGTTCTCTATCTTTAACGTCTTTTATTTAAACTTATTTTGAGTGGGTCTGTTCTGGCAAATAGCTATCAAGTATACACACTACCCTAGCTCTGCTTCTAGTTAATGAGGATAAAGAATATGACAGAAACCCTGGGTTCAGCCTCTGAGTTTGTGAAGAGCTATTAGACACCTACAGTGAATTAGATCCCCACATACACCATAGTCTAATATTCACCTACTTCAGAATTTAATCCTAATAAGAGCCTTGTGGAATAAACAGTTATTGTTCATTTATAGTAGAAGCTGAGCTAAGTGGTATTTAAAAAAAAATCCTTGCTGTCAGTTCTCAGCTGATGAAGGCAGCCAGGTTTGAACAGTGAGTGCACCATTATATAACCCACCTGCTCCTTCATGGACTCTGCTTCTCTCCCATCATTTTGTTACAAAGGTTTCTAAAGGGCTACAGCAAAGATGTGGTATTTTATTCAAAAAGATTGTTTTGTGCACATAATCGTATATTTAATGTTTTATTTAGAATATAATCTAAAAGTCACTTATGCACAAATCTAAAAGATGCCTATGTGCTTTCTACTTAACCGTTGTAGTCTTTCGGAGTGACAATTGCTAATTGATTGCTAAAAGATTGTGTGCGCAGACATACTCCAGTCGCATGTGGTGAGCACTGAGACACTAATCGTTGTTATCTACTTCCTTTTCAAGCTTCCTGAAAAGCTGCTCTTTTCTCAAGGCTGTAACTGGATCCAGCAGTACAGTTTTGGACCAGAGAAGTATACAGGTTCAAATGTGTTTGGGAAGTTACGTAAATGTGTGGAACTATTGAAAATGCAGGTGAGCATTTAGGGAAAACAGAACAAACACTGGGAATAAAGCATGCTTCAAAAACAGCCAGTTCTCCGTCATGGCAGGCGTATTGCTTTGTGCTAGGGAAGTGAAAACCGTGGCAGGCCTCCTGCTGGCAGCTGGTGATTCCGTCTGTGCACCTCTTCTACCAAGTAGGAACTAGAGCCAGTGTTCTACGTGATGGCTAGGCTCCTTGTGAGGGCAAGGAGTTTCTGTGGCTGTGTGGGAAACCTAACCAATCATAGCCAGTTCTCCGTCATGGCAGGCGTATTGCTTTGTGCTAGGGAAGTGAAAACCGTGGCAGGCCTCCTGCTGGCAGCTGGTGATTCCGTCTGTGCACCTCTTCTACCAAGTAGGAACTAGAGCCAGTGTTCTATGTGATGGCTAGGCTCCTTGTGAAGGCAAGGAGTTTCTGTGGCTGTGTGGGAAACCTAACCAATCACGGAACTTTGTTTCAAATGTGGAACAAGTTCCAGACAGGAAGCTCAGAAATGCTTTTCTGCGAGCATCCTCTTAGTAAGCTAAGGATACCACCATGTAGTAAGTACACTAAAGTGTCTTCCTGACTTTTAAGAATAACACAGTGTTTGGGTGAGAGGAATGAATGCCAAGCTCACCACTCACTACCTGACTTGCCTGGGGAAATGGCTTTCTGAGCTGTAGCTTTCTTCTCTGTGAGGGAGAATTGTGAGTAGTGTATACCGTGTTGTGAGGCTCTGAGTTAATTAATTCACCTAAGAGCCTTGCAGAGTGCCTGGCACCCGGTGACTTAGCACTCTGGCACTGTTCTTTACTGGAATAGCTTTTGGAGGACCCAACAATCCCAAGCAGTTTTGCAGAACTGATTCACTTGGTAGTTTACCTAGTAGTGGTATATTTTTGAGAAAATTTTGTTTCTTACTATAAAAGTAAAGTGTGGGTGTGGTTTACAGTTCCAGTTTCTATAACAGGATACCATAAACTGAGGGTCCTATACAACCAACAGTTTTTTCTTGTTGTTGTGGAGATTGGAAGTCTGAGGCCAGGGGGCCAGTATGGAGTAACACTTGGTGACACCCCCTCCTGGTTTATAGATAGGTGTTCGGTGGTGGCCCCCCACCTCCTGGTTTATAGATAGGTGTTTGGTGATGGTCCCCCCTCCTGGTTTATAAATAGGTGTTTGGTGATGCCCCGCCTCCTGGTTTATAGTTGGGTATTTGGTGATGACCCCCTCTTCCTGGTTTATAGACAGGTGTTTGGTGATGATCCTTCCTGGTTTATAGACAGGTGTTTGGTGATGACCCCTTCCTGGTTTGTAGATAGATGTTTGGTGATGACCCCTTCCTGGTTTATAGACAGGTGTTTGGTGATGGGTCTTTTCTGTGCCACCACACACCAGAAGGAGAACTAGCAATCAGACCTCCTCTTATAAATGCCCCAATCCCATTCATGGGGACTCCATCCACATAACTGATCACCACGCAAAGGCCATACCTCCTATTGCCTTGACCCTGGGACTGGACATTCAACATATGAAATTCCTGGGGGTCGGGGGGTGGCCATGAACACTCAGCCCATAGCAATAAAAAGTTAAATTTCTGTTCTCTATTCATCTTTGGCTTATTTTATTTTTTTTCTTGATTTATTTATTTTTATGGGTATGAGTGTTTTGCCTGCATATATGTAAATGCACCATTCACATGCAGTATCCATGGAAGCAAGAAGAGGGATTCAGAATCCAAGTTACAGACAGTTACAAGCTGCCCTGTGGGTGCTTGAGAACCCATCTCAGGTCTTCAAGAGAAGCCAGTGCTCTTAACGCTGAGCCATCGCTCCAGTTCCGTGTTACTACTTTAAAAGTTGTTCAGTGGTCAGTGGGCTCATCTTTGTCCTTCTAAATTCACACTTACACCTGTATTTCCAGTGGGCTGAGTTTAGTGCCATGAGAGATTACCACAAGAGAGGGAACATGTGCAACGCACTCTTCTCAGACGCCCTCCTAGAGTATAAACTGTACGAAGCTTTGAAGTTCATCATGCTCTACCAGGTCACTGAAGTCTACGAACAAATGAAGGCTAACAAGATCATCCCCGGTTTGTTCAGACTCCTGTTTTCCAGGGAGTCATCTTCAGATCCTTTGAGCTTCATGATGAACCACCTGAATTCCATTGGTGACACTTGTGGATTGGAGCAGGTGAGTGGGAAGTAGAGGAAGAGGTTCATGGATGACTCGAGAATACTTGAACCTGCAGACCTTCCAGGTTTATGTTTAGCAGTGGTAAAATCAACTGCACAGATGTGTCCAGCTGGTATTAATGGCCCCAAGTGCAGAAAAGAAGTCATAAGCCTCACTGCTGGGTGCTGTGCCCTATGTCTGAGGACCCTTGGACTGGAGAGAGCTGTTTCTCAGAGTCTTGTCAGCCACACAAATAATAACTAGGAAAAGTCCCCTAGGAAAGCCAGATCACTGTGGGAAAGCATTTGACTATCACAAACATAAAAATTAGTAGAAATTTTAAGACCAGCTGGGTGTGGTGGCACACATCTTCAGTCCCGGTACTCAGGAGGCAGCTGGATCTCTGTGAGATTGAGGCCAGGCCAGCTGGGTCTACAGGGAGACCCTGTCTCAAAACAACAACAACAAATTTTTGATATCAAAAAATGTTCCCTCCCCATGACAAATGTCTTCTGCTTTGCTTTCCCAAAGAGGATGAACCATCTTTGACATCTTTCCAAACTGATTTAAAAGAAGAGCAGACTGGTTGGAAAACAGTATAATTTTTCTAGTGTGCATCCTTTTTCTTTTTCCCTTCCCCTCTCCTCTGTTCACACCTTCCTCTTTTATTTTCCCTCTCTGTCTGTCTTTCCTTTCTTTCCCTTTTCCCTCTGAGACAGGATCTCAGTTGTAGCCCAGGCTAGTCTGGAACTCGCTGTAGTCCAGTCTGGCCTCAGGTTCATGGCAGTATTGCTTCAGCCTCCCAAGTGCTGGATTAAAGGTGTGAGCCGTAGTGTCTGGCTTGGGCATTCCCTTTCATTCTGAATGATTTTTTTTTTCTGATCTCTTCACACTGGTCAGAGTCCTGCCTTTCTCTTCTTCCTTCCACACTATGGACATGTGCTGTCCATTTCATCAGTTCAGTACAAACCTGAAAAAAGGGAGCCTCGACTCAGGAATTTTCTCCTTCAGAGAAATGCCTTGTCTGTGGGGCATTTTCTTGATTGCTAGTTGAGGTAGGAAGGCCCAGCTCACCGGGTGGTGTCATCCCTATACAGCGGGGCCCAGGCTTTATAAAAGAGATAGCTGAACCAGCCAGGGAAGCAAGCCAGTGAGCAGCATTCCTCCATGGTTTCTGCTTCGGCTCCTGCCTCCAGGTTCCTGTGTTGGCTTCCTTCAGTGATGGACTGTAACCTGTAAGCCAAATAGACCCTTTCCTCCCCCAAGCTGAGTCTGTTTAGTATTTATCACAGCATTAGAGAAATGCATGCTCATGGCTTCTCTTTCACCTTGTACCCAGATTGATATGTTCATACTGGGATATTCGCTTGAGGTAAAGATAAAAGTGTTCCGGCTGTTCAAGTTTAACTCCAGAGACTTTGCTGTCTGTTACCCAGAAGAGCCTCTTAAGGAGTGGCCAGAGATCTCCCTGCTGACTGAGAATGACCGCCACTACCACATTCCCGTCTTTTAAGTTTGCCATGGACTGGGCACCAGCTCTCATCAATGACAGTGGTCACATTTTCAAGTAAAATATTTCTGAGAAACGAGTTACTGTTTCAACTTTGGAAGGAATGACAACCTTCTCTGAACTTACAGGAACAATGAGGGCAGGATGCTTTGCCTTTCTCTTTCAGTAAATTCCTGCAGAGCAACACTGATCTACTGGAAGTTGGTGGGTTGACCTTGTTCATAAGGAATCTTTAAGACAGAAGGAACTTAATATGGACAAAAATAGGAGAGAAAAGCAGGAACTTCTGTTCTTCAGTAACACTGCCAATATGGGATGATCATAAATA